AAGAAAGGGAGAAACATTCAGGAACACTTCAAAATATTATTAAATTATGAAATTAATTTCTTATAACATTTTCTAAATCTGAATATTTTTTTTAGCATTGACACGAGCCGTTACTTAGTATATTTTATGGTAAAATTTAATAGTTTTTTATTTTACTTTTTATTTTCCTTATCTATCTTTCTCTCTTTCTTTTTCTTCTTTTTTTCAAGCAAAAAATCCCGTTTCTCTTTCTAAGACTTCAGCATTATAGATTTCCTTTTTACTGACATAAAAATTCGTACTTTCAGATAACACTGAGAAGTACTAAAAAATGAGTTTAAATTTACATCTCCCTCAGACCTTCATATTGAAAGTTTAAAAATGAGAACTTTGTTCTTCCTTATTGTTCTTGTTTTCGCAATAGTGAATCCAAATTAGTATTTAGTTAAAAATCTAGAATTTAGTTTCTCAGTTTCTCGTCAAGCTTTAGACGTATGCTTTCTCATTCTTGTCTCGACCGTGACAGCATATAAAAACCTATAAATCACAATTAGATGTTGGCGACATCCTGCACTCTGATAAGTCACCATCGTCATCTTTGCTCATCATCCCCCGACACTCCCGACAGTTGTCAAAACACAATTCAGAGAATGGGGCACCCAGAGGTATTATACTGTCTGCTTGTTTTGGAGCCATGTGCATTAATCTATTTGTTACGGCATGTGATTTCGTTTGTGTTTATTTTTATATTTAATTTTTGAGGGGTTGGTTTTATCTATACCATTATTAACGCCTCATTTTCTTCAGTTTCCTTTATAGTTTCTTCCTTTTTTTGTACGAAAAATAATCCAGTTTTTAAATTAAATAGTTGGTGACAGCTTTCAATATTTAAACTAATACTTATTAAACGAAATAGTTATGGAATAATAATGTTATTTTATTGTGTTTTTGCTCTTTCAGTTTCTGTAAGAATAAAATCTTTCTCATGTTTTGAGATTTAAAACTCGGAAAATGAATGATAATTGGATAACTACAAGTGACGTCACTAATAGGTAAAGCGTGGCATTTGTCGATTCAGAAGCCAATCAGGTTCGACACACACGCGTGACGTCACTTGCAGGTACAATTCAATCTGATTCAAATCACATGGTTGAGCTAATCGCTTCACTTCTTCTCGAGTTTCAAGTACCCAATTCATAGAAAGTACTTTTTTGTGTCTGATTTAATAACTTAAAATATCGTTTGCATTAATTGATATAGGGTTAGGTTCTCAAACCAATAAGAATGATTCCTAATACGCTTATATCTGATCATTAGATCAAAAGTTATTAAAGTGTTTGCATGTCCTTCTTTTTTGCTCACTGTAAAAAAATTTTTTTTTACATTAATACTGTATGAAATAGTTTTTAAAAAAAAGCGCGTCTTGTTTAAAAATTGCAATTTTGTAAATAGATTAAACAGATCTATTTTTGTTGTTACAGAAAGGATTTAATTTTTAGTTTAGTTATTTTTTATTAAATATTTACTATATGTTACCCGGAAACAATGAATATTGGCTTTAAATAGACATTTTATAGAATGTCTGACGTTTTTAGGCAAAAAATGGAATATGAAAATTATTTTTTACTTTACGTAGGCATTGTATATAATATCTGGCCATTCTATACGTAGATAAGGTTATAATGAATTAGAAAAATCGGCGCTTATTTCACAAAGATTTAAATGTTATTTCTTAAATTAATGAAAGTCTGCCCTAAGGGGCATATCATATATATTTTGGCCATGTACGAAACGTCGGCGTTTCATAGAATACCTAGTCACCAGTTTTAGGCATTCCAGATATTCTATATAAATGCCAAATATTCTATGAATGCCGGATTACAAACTTGTAACAACTTTATTATTTCGATTTTCCATGAAGAAGATATAACTCATTTTTCGCTTATAAGCTTGGTTCATACCTTTGACAAATAAACAACTGTTTAAAATAATCTATAATTTTTCTTTTCTCTTTCGTGAGTCATAATTCGTAGAAAAATGAAATGCTCTTTTACAGTTAATTCCTGCGAAAAATATCATCTTTAGTGTTTAGTTTTGCTTTTTAAAACTTGTTTATTATTATAGCAGATTGTTTACTAATTTTTTTACCCATCATTTTGTTATTGAAAGCATTTCAAGCTTTCTGCCACTGTATCCTGTAAAAGTGTACTTTCTAATACTCAGCATTTCACTAAATTGTAAATTTTTTCTTCATACATCATTTTTTAATTTGATCTTGAAATTTTTTTTATCTGAGTTAGCTGTGTTTAAAGACGGAAGATTTTTGTTAGGGACCGTACAAGTATTTCGTAAACATATTTTGTTAATTTTAGACCTATTTCAATTTGCGAAGCAAGTTGCGATTTCCCTTGCATATGCTTACTCGAGATTTTTTTTAAAAAATTTAAATATTTTTACAATTTACGATGAAAAAAATTTTTTTTAAGTAAGCATTTCTTACACTCTCTTTCTCTCTTCATTGCAAAATAAAGCGAATCGTAAACTCCTAATGGAAGAGACACTTTCAGTTTTGGACATTTTTTAAAAATTTTTTCAAGAAATACTTAAAGGATAAATTTGTAACATAAGAAGTGTATTTAGTTCATGCGATTTTTCTTACTTAGCAATAAGATTTAAAGCTTTCAGAGGTTTGGGAGACCTACAATAAATTACGAACGAAAATATATTTTGTATATATGTATTTTTGAACACCCTATGACAGAAAATCAAGTAACAAGCTTGTAATTTACTTAAGTTGTTATTTTTAATAACTGCATAAAATTTCGTAAACCTACGGTAAATATTAGTGGAGATATGGATATTTTATTAAAAATTAACTATCTTGCCTCACGTTTTTTTGCTATAACTTTATTTATATTCAATGGAATTAAACAAAATTTTTGGAGCAATTTAAAGTTAATTACAAAATTATTGGTTTAAAATTTTGAAACAAATCGTTAAAAAATGCGCAAGATATAAGTATTTAAGGTAGTTCTTTTAAACTGCGCATGCGCAGAAAAATGTAAAGAAGTTATTTTATAATTTTGTAGTGAATTGTCCTTAGCAACTAATGCGAAAGGTTTGATTTGAAAATCTTAAGAATTGAAAAAGTTTCAAGCAATTTTCTAAGTAGTATTTGCACTTTTTAAAAGAAAGCTCAAAACGATCAAGGGTTCTTCACAAATTTTATTTTGTATCATGAAACAAAATTTAATAACAAATGATAATACCTTACAATAATCGTCCGGAAAACAGAATATGATGATATAGGAAAAAGAAACCATACTTTTATGGGGGATGATCCCCTACAATTCCGGTCTCAATTTTAATAATTCTTGTTTAATAGTGCAAATAAAATTTTTTGAAAACCCCTTATCGTTTTGAGCTTTTATTTAAAACGTACAAAAACTACTTAGAAAATTGCTTGAAACTTTTTAAGCATTTAAGATATCAGAATCAAACTTTTTCATTAGTTGCCAAATACGATTCATTACAAAATGTGAATTTTTTAAAAAAAATTTTTTCTACTCATGAGCAGCATAAAAGAACTACTTTAAGTACTCCTATCTTGTGCAGTTTTCAATGGAGTTTCTTAAAATTTTAAAGCAACAATTTTGTAATTAAATTAAATCACTCCAAATTTTTTTTTCCTGTTTCATTGTACTTATATAAAAAAAAAGCGTAAGACAAAAAAAGTATTTTTTTTTTATATCGCAATTTTCACATCTCCATAAATATTCACGCTAGGTTTTCAAAAATTTTATTTAGCTATTAAATACAATAATTTAAGTAAACAATACAAGTTACAAGCTTCCTAAATACTTGTTTTCTTTCCTAATTTACTGTAGGTCTCTCAAACCTTTGAAAACTTTAAATCTTATTGCAAAGTATGAAAAAGTGCATGAACTAAACGCCTGTAAAGTTAAAAAATAAAATAAAAAATACTTTAAGTATTTCTTGAGAAATTTAAAAAAAAAATGTCAAAAACTGAAAGTGTTCTCTTCCATTATTGTAGGGTACCATATATCTATGTATCTCTATCTATGTATCTCTATCTATATATCTATATCTATATATCTATATCTATATCTATATCTATATATCTATATATCTATATCTATATATCTATATCTATATATCTATATCTNAATTGCTTGAAACTTCTTAAGCATTTAAGATATCAAAATCAAACTTTTTCATTAGTTGCCAAATACGATTCATTACAAAATTCGAATTTTTTTAAAAAAAAATTTCTGCGCATGAGCAGCATAAAAGAACTACTTTAAGTACTCCTATCTTGTGCAGTTTTCAATGGAGTTTCTTAAAATTTTAAAGCAAGAATTTTGTAATTAAATTAAATCGCTCCAAATTTTTTTTTCTATTTCATTGAATATTTTAAAAGTTATATTGAAAAAGAAACGCAAGACAAAAAAATTATTATTTTTTTAATATAAAAATTTCCACATTTCCATAAATATTTACACTAGGCTTACGAAATTTTATTTAGATATTAAAAACAATAATTTAAGTTAACCGTACAAGTTACAAACTTCCTAAATACTTGTTTTCTTTTGTAATTTACTTTAGGTCTCTCAAATCTTTGAAAACTTTAAATCTTATTGCAAAGTATGAAAAATTGCATGAACTAAACACCTGTAAAGTTAAAAAGTAAAATAAAAAATATTTTATGTATTTCTTGAGAAATTTTAAAAAAAATGTCAAAAACTGAAAGTGTTCTCTTCCATTATTGTAGGGTACCATATATCTATGTATCTCTATCTATATATCTATATCTATATCTATATATCCATATCTATATATCTATATCTATAAAAACAACGCTTGTTTAAATATTTTTATTTATTATTTAAAAATAATTGTAAATATATATATATAATTGTAAATATTTTTATTTGTGTGGTGCGTTCAAAACAATACTTTATAAATGATCGAAATATAGCTCACCTTGCCATAATTTTGGCTTTGTCATTTAGTTAATGATTATTGGTCATGGTCATGTAAGTTTTATTAACTTGACTTGACTCATCGAAAAAGTATGCCTTGGGGGACATGCGCAATTTGACCACTTTCGTGCGGGCATCCCTACAAAACAACGTTCCCCATCTGCTTTTTCACTCCCCGGCCATGCCTTCTGGATTTTGATCTTTTCAAATGACGTCATCTGCCACATTTTCTGACTCACTCATCCTTCGGAGAGTGGTTGTTTTTATTTCGCTTCGAGACGGCCTTGCGTCCGGGAGTGTGCCGACCTCAACTCTGGATGATAGTAATTCTGTTATATTTGTGATGAGTATTTCTGATTGCTTTCTTCACTTCCGTTTGGTTTTCACACATCATTCGCATGATTTAGATTGTGGTCAGAAATCGTCTGCTTGAAACAATAGAAAATGTTAAGTAGTAGGCTTTATTTTCAGCATTTGTTTTAATCGAATTATTGTTTTAATATTTGATAATTCAGATGTTTATGATGTGTAGAATTATGAAGATTATTTGTTCGACTCAATTGTATTATTTATATTAATAATGAGCGGAAGTTTCAAGAATTTTGTTTAGTCTGTTACTTTTATCAGTGAGAAATCGTTTGATTCATTTGGCCAGCTGCAAAATTGAATTTTGTTCCTAGAAGTGGTAGGAAGGAATTAGTGAGTAAAATTTTTACTATTAATGATTTATTTTATACATAGTTTATTGTACTAATTGTATTGTACCAATTAGTGTAATATATATGTATTAGATTTCATTTTAGCATGTTTTGATCTTTTATTAGCATGTTTTAGGTAGTTGTGAGAAAAAAAACTTTAAAATATTTGTTAGAAAGGAATTTTTTTTTATATTTTTTTATATTTTCTATTCTAGAAATTTATTTTTAAACGTGTAATAATTCCTAAATAATTTTTTGTCATTAAATATTGTGTATCCATTTGCAGTTCTTTAAAGGTCGTATTTAGCCCCCAAGTTAATTTTAAAAAAATATTTAAAGATATTCAAAAATATCGATCTAAAATTTTTAACTCAAATATTTGTGAGTATTTTATTGAATCGATTGAGATTTCTCAGAAATTGAGATGAAAGTAAACGAAGAATTTGAAGGAAAATTCTTAACTATTAATGGTACGTGAATTTGAATGTCATTTGTTCTGTTGATTGACAAAACTTGTTTTTTAATGTTTTCCTAATATGGTGCTGGTGCATAGTGGGGGAAATTAAATTATCGCAATAATAATTAAATTGATCGATTGAATTGATTGGTTCAATCCTATTAAGGCTTAGAACAATTTAATAACATTTTGGGAGGCAAAAATAATGAGATAACTTGTTAATATACAAGACTTTCCGTTCATACTATATTGTTGTATTTTTGAATGGTTATGATTCGGGAAAAGATTAAATGCTTGCCAATTCGGCGAAAAACTCGTCTCCAAGCTTTTTTACTTGTTCTATAAGTATATAATGCATGCATATAAATAAAAAAAATGATAAAGAAAATTTATGAAAGTTACATAATATTTTTTTTCTTCAAATCTCTGTTTTTCAGAGAAAAAATAAGTTAATTGACGTATTTAGGTTTTCAAAAGAAAAAGCTTTATGCAAGAAATTTCTATTTCCTATTATTGCCTTTGTATGTTGTGATTTTCGGATATTTTTGAAATATCAATCCGATGAAAGTATGAAATTTTGAAAAAAATCACAAAAACAAATGTCTATATTTTTCCACAAATAATATTTATAAAGCAAATTGTATAGTTTTTGCTACAGATACATATCATTTAGTAATATTTGATAGAATGTTACTTGTATATGTATGTTATGGAATGTTACTTACCAATACTTTTGTTTAAAACTTAATTCATGTCTTGAAAAATTACACATACATAGCAGTTAGTAAACTAGCACTGAATAACATTATATCTAAAGTTTATTTATTCATTAAACTCTTTCAATTTTTCACTGGTTTTCTGATTTTGGAGGAACACTTTCCTATCTACGAAGAACCAGTGTTAGGAGGAACACAAGCTTGGAACCATTTTTATAAACTGATCATTATCCATGTTTATCGACCAGTTTGCCAAGGGAGTATTATATTTGGCTTGACTATTACTCAATTTCGAAAAAAAAAAAATCTTAATAGCTTAAAAAAAAAAGAAAAAAACCCCCAATTAGAATGGGCTTTTGTTCACGAGGATCGATATATGCAAGGCTTCTTAAAATTCATTACTTTTGAGGCTCGAAAGCCAATTTCAAAGCTAAGACGACGCCACATAAAATGATATATGCACTACATTAAAAACGAAGACGAAGATTCAATGATAGGTATTGAAATTATACATTAGTTTAATATTAATTTACAAGGCCTCTGATTGCGGATAATTATTAAAATTATAATTTTTTTAATTGTATTTAAAATTTAATTGCCGCCAAAAAAACTTTTTAGATAAATTTTGTTGGAACAATTAAAATTGTAAGGAAACGAAGAAATTCCAGCTATTGGATAACTGCCGAAATCATCAGGAATATAAAGCTTTCGGTTTTCCACGGATTTTATCGATTTTATATATNATAGTTATAATAAGTTTATAAGTTAATTTATAATCTCCTTTGAGTTATATAAGTTAAAATGCGTGTACATGCACTAAAAGCTACAAATTTCTCTGATTCGAAAATAGACTTTCTCGCAACCCCGTAGTAATCTATTCGTGTATCTTAAAAGGGTATCAGGTCTTCTGCAATTTATGAGTAGACTGATTTTATCATCATGCAAGGCAACTTAGGAAGCACTTTTCAAAAACTGCTTCAACGGTTAAGAAACTTTTGGAGAGTTGTTCTTCATATTGGCATGTAATAAGCATTTGTGAGCCTACCGGCACATTGTATTTTTAGTTAGTTACAAAATATTTGATAAATATTATCAAGTAATTTTGGAAAACATAGTGCAGACCGTTCCACTCAAGATTTTCCCTAATCCTTACCCTTGTATTTGAACTTGGGACAGATTTGAATGATAAAATCGTGTTTTGGGTTTTTTTCGTAAAAAAAAGAATTAAAAAAAATGAGAGGGCGACTATGTGTGACTCAACTGCCTTTCAAGTTTCAGTGAGCACTTGTCATCACTACAGCGAACAGCAATGGAACTACGACAGATGTAGATTGGAATAGTCACTCTTCACTCTAAGGGTCTTTTTTTATTATAGCTGTCTATTATTAGAACAGTGGTTCCCAATTTTTTTCGGCTATGGAACCCTAAATGATCGACCATCGTTTAGTGGAACCCCGATTTTTATAAATTAAGTTCAATTGTAGTTGTAGAACAAAGAAAGACAGCTAATTATTTCGAAGATGTGGAAAATTTAAATTTTTACATCTTTATCAACGGCAGTCTTAAGATTAAAATTTATGTCAGATAGTTAAAATCAGCGAAACAGTATTTAGTCTTTTTTAGAATTTGTGTTTGATGTACGCAAAAGCTGAGAAGAAATAAAATAAGCTAAATTAGGGCTTGCACTAAAATAAAAACGAAAAAATAAATAAATAAATAAAATAAAAAGTTGAGAATGGTTATTAGAGAAACACATTTCTTTATTCTTTCATTTAATTTTCTTTCATTTAGTTAAAAAAAGTTCGTTCGAAAAAACTTTTACAAATTTTATGCATGCATATTCTTTTCATTATTTTTCTTTAAATATATTGCTTTCTTCCCTTTTTTTTATGTAACTTAAATGATTTAATTAAAATAAGTGAAATATTAAATAAATTTTTGAGTATTGAAGGAACATAAATATCATCTCAGGTCTCAAAAGTCATAATTGGTTAAATAGTCTTAACTTTCGGAACTCTAGGGTTCCGCAGAACTTCTTTTGGAAACCGTTGGAACAAGATAACACTTAAAAGGAAGAAAAAAAAAAGATTAAATTAGAAGAGGTTTATGTATGTTTCTTTTAGATTATTTATTTACTTGAGCTTCCTAAATGTTATTCTTCATTAGAGTCTGTGTTGTGTTTATTTGTTGAGAACATATTTTGTGATATGTTCTACCTTCTTTTATTTTATTTCCAAACATAGATTAAAAAAGCCTGTTATTGTTTTAATTTTTCTTCCGATAACTATGCAGTACTCTATCAACAATAATAATAGTTATAATTTGCAATGTTATTAAGAAAAAAAGGAAACTGAATTCGTCATTTGTGGCTGTTTAACTAAGCTGATTACGAGAGAGAAAGACATTTCAACGAACTGTTCCACATTTTCTATGAATGCATTCGTTAGCTTTTTATTGGGTATGCATGACTCATAAGTTGTTTGTTTCCAACAATATAAGGTCTGATAAAAAATGATTCCGTTAATTAAATTCTTGTCGTCTAACCTAAATATTATTCATAATTTACAATAACTTATCATTTATCATCAAATAAAACAGAAATTTTATTTAAAAATAATTATTTTTATTTTATAAGAAATTTAATTTTTTAATAGTTTATTAAAAAATAACCAATTTTATTTTAAAAAAATAAAAGGCTTCGTTTTCATATTTATAATGCTGAATTAAAAAAATTTACTATCGCTAATTATGGTAAAACCAGAGAGATATTAATATACTCTAAAAGTGTGTATTATTTCTGATTATGGCCAACTCTAATGGTATTTAGCTTAGATACAGGGTTAAAGAAAAATAACAGAGTGTGTTGGAAACCTTGATTTTAGAAAAACAGTAGATTAAAAAATATTCATTTGTTGACCAAAAGAGTGAGACCATAAGTAAGATGTAAAAATTTTATTAAAATCGGAAAACCGTGAACTTATTTAATTAAAAAAAAAAAAAAAAAAAAAAAAACACTAGATTCGACGTAAAGCAAGAGCAATTTTTAAATTTTTTTAAATTTTTTTCCTCCTTAAATTAATTGAAATTCACAGGTAATTTTTCAAAATTATTTTAGAATATTTTTTTGTTAAATTTTTTTTTTGATATCTGTATTTAAATTTCAGAATTTCATTTCTAGGGGTCCTGAGTAAATATCTGTGATATTTGTTGCAATTATATTCAGTACTTTTAACAGTTGAGCTGAAAAGTTCGTAGGCTGACACATAGATGGGGCTACTATTATTAAATACATATGATTTTTAGTTAGTTCTAACCTTTGAAAGACACGTGTATAAATTTGACAGCTTTCGGACTATTAGTTTGTGAGATATAGTATTTTTAGTGAAGTAACTTTTGTTAGTTTAAAAACAACGGATGAAAAGGAATTTCGTGTGTTTTTAAAGCATTGTTTTTTAGCGAAAAAAAAATACTCTTGAAGCCAAGACTTGGCTTGGGAAACATTATTCGGACTCTGTACCAGGAAAATCAACCATTGAGAAGAGGTTTGCTAAGTTTAAACGAGGCGAAATGAGCACCGACTACGATGCACACAGTAGTCGCCCCAAAGAGGCTGTTACCGACGAAAGCATCAAAAAAGTCCACAAAATAATTTTAGATTACCATAAAGTGAAGTTGATCAAAATATCTGAGACTCTAAAGACATCAAAGGAACGTGTTGAACATATCGTGAATGAATATTTGGGTATGCGAAAGCTCTAGGCGTGGTGAAGAAAGTGGGTGCCGCACGAGCTCCCAATTGGACAAAAACAACAACGAATTGATGATTCT